AAAGACCATCAGTTAGATAGTGTGGAAAGTGTTGTAAGACTACGGGGGAGCCGTAGCATTCGCTAGTAGTCAGATAGTGCGATAAGTGCGGAAAGACTGCAGGGTAGTTGTTACATTTACGAGTTCGTTTAGATGACTTAGGCCAGGGTGGGCCAGTTCGTAAGGTTGTGAGTAGGTCACAACGTAATTGAATCAGGAAACAATAAGTCGAAGGAGACCGGGTACGATGTAAGACTGCAGTTATTCTGGTAGCATTCACCTTTTTGCGTTGGATTCAGTGACGACATGTTGTCAGCCTATCATGATCAGGTGGATCAAAGGATTGAAGGAACTATGTGTAGCGGTATAGATATGGAAGTTATTGTCAGACGAGGCATCCTTCGGAGGTCATGTGGGACTGTTGTGCGTGTGTTTCTGGCTCAACATTTAGATAGGTGTCCGGTGTTCCGGATAGTTGGCAGACAAGTTAGGACCAAGGAAATCCCGGTTGTTCTTCAGGAAAGCAGCTATGTTGCAGCAAGATGAGCTGGAGTGGTTCCAGTAATTTGGGGTCTGTGTGTGGAGTTACGTGTCATTCGGGGCATATACTAAGTTGTTTACAGTTAGACTAAATAATATCAGAGGTTGAGTAGCCAGTTGGGAGATAAGTGCAGTAAAATCGACAATGATTCGATGTGGACGATCTGTCAGGGAGACAGACCATCTCGAGGTTTCAAGTTTCAGATTGTGTAAATGTAATCATGTTGCAACGAATTCGTTTCATCTTCGGGAAATGCAGATTGCAACAAATCAAGGAGTTGATTGCAACAACTCAAGGAGTTGATCAAATGAACTATCAGTCCATTTGTTATTCACCTTGATATGCATTAACTTTGCTAGAAACTCAAGGGAAGAAAAGGTGTAACCATGATACAATTTAGTTTCCACTTCTTCTAACAACTGTGCAAAATCATCATCCACACCGCTACCCCTTGTGTTCGAGGTTCCTTCATCGAGGTTGGTATCATTTTCTCTCGACCCCCACATCACATCGTCGATTAAATCGACCATTTTGTTACTTGGCAAGACGACTAGAGGAATAAAAGATTCACCATGATAGATCCAAGTTTTGTACGACTTACTGAAACCTTTATAAATATATATCGTTCCACTACAGTCGGGTACTTAAAGTAACGATTATCACATTTTTCACACGCACATCTGATTTTACCATTACTATCAACGTGTGACTTGGACTTCTCGATAAAAGCTTTGAGTCATTCTTGGAACTCGAGATAGTTTTGATGTGGATTATTAGTCCAGCTTTTATTAATTGATATTATGTTGCTGAAACATAATTTCAGGTTTAGAGTTTAAGATATAGAACTAGAATTGGTTTTTTTTTTTTTTTTTTTTTTTTTTTTTTTTTTTTTTTTTTTTTTTTTTTTTTTTACAATTACTTGTAATTTATATAAGCAAAAGTTATAAGTATTAAATAAAATGGTCAAAGATCTAACGAATCAATTTTTTCCACACGTTTGTTTTATTTATACTAGATGTACAAATAGACACATGATTATTGAAAAATTTTTGTTTATTTTTTTAATATGTTTAGCAATTAGTTTTTATTGAATAAAATGTTAAATAAATCAAAATTAATAATTATGTATATCCATAAAAAAACATTTCTTACTATTATACCTATATATATATATATATATATATATATATATATATATATATATATATATATATATATATATATATTTCTAACATATATTTATTTTTCAACTACAACATTGTAATTTAAATAATTATATTATGTTGTTATATCGTTCTTTTTTACCGTCGAGATTAAAAAATTTATATATTTTTTATTTATAGCATTGTATAAATATATTGTTTAATTATAATATTCGTATATAAGTTTTGGAAATTATTGGTTAATATATAAGTTTCGAAACTTATTGGTTAATTTGGGGTTAGTTTGGTAACAAACTAGAAACTTAACATCCTATATATGTTTTTAAACAAATTTATAACATTTTTTTTTTATTTTTTTTTTCCAATTCTAACAATAATTTTTAATTTTTTTTTCTAATTATAACATTGTACTTTAAACAACTATATATTATGTTGCTGTGTTCTTTTTTTTTACCGTCCAGATTAATATATATATATATATATATATATATATATATATATATATATATATATATATTTATAGCATTGTATAAATATATTTTTTAATTATAGCATTCGTATATAAGTTTTGGAAGTTATTGGTTAATATATAAGTTTTGAAACTTATTGGCTAATTTGGGGTTAGTTTGGGAACAAACTATAAACTTTCTAGTATTAGTATATAAGTTTTTAGACAATTTTAAAACTTTTTTTTTTGCTTTTTTTCTAATTATAACAATAATTTTTTTTTCAATTTTAGCAGTGTACTTTAAAAGTTATATTATGTTGTTGTGTTGTTCTTTTTTACTGTCGAGATTAATATATATATATATATATATATATATATATATTATTTATACCATTATATAAATATGTTGTAAATATAAAATTTAAAAACTAAAAAAGACATGAAAATATAAATATGAAACTATACAAATATAACATTATAAGTTAAGTTGAAGATTATAAGTTAACTATAGAACTTATTGGTTAATTTGGGGTTACAAGTTTATAAAGAATTTTATAACATTTTTTTTTCCAATTATAACAATAATTTTTTTTCCAATTATAACATTGTATTTTAAACAATTATATTATGTTGTTGGGTTGTTTTTTTACCGTTGAGATTAGAAAACATATATATTTTTATTTATAGCATTGTATAAATATGTTACAAATACAAAATTTAAAAACTAAAAAAGACATGAAATATAAATATGAAACTATAGAAATATAACATTATAAGTTGTTTTTTTTTGAACCGGCAAATACATATATATCTAAATTACTGCTAAACTAACACCTAATTTCACTTATGTCCACGAGAAAACTTGAACTCTCGACCTCAAAGAGGGAGGACACCACCAGATACTGCTGGGCTAGAAACCCTTTGGTTATAAGTTAAGTTGAAGATTATAAGTCAACTATATAATTTATTGGTTAATTTGGGGTTAGATTGGGAACAAACTAGAAACTTTCTAGTATTCATATATAAGTTTTTAAACAGTTTTCTAACATTTTTTTAATGTTTTTTTTTCCAATTATAATAATAATTTATTTTTATTTTTTTCAATTATAGCATCCTACTTATACCAAAACCACATAGTTTCACATAATACATAAGAGCATGAAATTCACATACTTTCACATACATATTTCACATATATACCAAATACAAATACATTCACATACACACATAATAAAATCCAACTTAGACTAAACACACATAATTTCACATAAATAAAACCATAACATCCTACTTTTACCAAATACATAAATTTCACATTCATATACCACATATACAAACAAACATAGATACATTCACATACACACATAATAACATCCTACTTATAACAAATACATATAATTTCACATATATAGAAAATAACATCATACTTCTGCCAAAGTACTCATATACCACATATACATCAAACGCACATATATTGACATGTATACACCAAATTTACATAGATTCATACAAATATCAAATATAGATACATATGACAATTTTCACATAATTGATACAACTACACATATCTTGCAGTTAAACTCAAATTTCATAATAAATTAAAGTAAATAGAACTGTAGTGGCGGAAATCAACGAATATGTTGCTGAAAAAATTGGTCTTCACCGGAAAATACGCTCACCCGTATAGTAAACCCAAAGACAAAACTACCAAAAATACTGAAATTGAAAAATAATTTGCAATTAATCATCAAATGGAGCTAGAAATCGACGTTAAAAGAGAAAGAAAAATAGATATAAGAACTTCAAGTTACCTTTTTTTCCCGAGATGGAGCTAGAAATCGTGAGTTAACCTGTTTAATTAAAGCCCTAAACATCTTTGATCCCTAATCTCACAATGTGGTGAGATTTCTAGCTTGTTGAAATCCTTGGAAACGATTGTAGAAAATAGGGCAAGAAGGAGCAACAGCGTTTTGATGGAAGACACAAAGCAAAAGAGGAGAATGTATCCATTTTTTTTCTTTTTATCTGTGATAGCCTTTAGCGGCGACTATATAGGTTTTACCGGCGACGCACGTTAACAACGACGACTATCTGGAGGGAAGGGTACTGTGTCTTTTTTTAGACCACTATTAACGGCGACTTTTTCGACTTTTAGCGGTGACAAAATGTCACCGGTATTGGTTATGTGCGGATAAGACGTCTCAACCGTTGGATTAGACACTCGATCGAACAGCTGAGGTCTATCAGAAGTGGATAACGCGGATTCGGATGAAAAACCTTTAGCGACGACACAATTACCGGCGATAGAGGCTTTTAGCGACGACTCTACCATTTGTCGCCACTAAAGGTTCGTGTCGCCGATAATTGTGTCGCCGCTAAAGGCATGGTTTCTTGTAGTGTAATAATAATATCTCTTAGATCCACAGATGTTGTTTTCAAAAGAATTAGTTTTACCATCTAGAAAGAGCTAGTGGCGCTCGTTTACCTTCTATCGATATGTGTTGAACTTTATTTTGAATAAAAAAGTAATAATAATAATAATAATAATAATAATAATAATAATAATAATAATAGAAATTTGCCTCATACATAGTCCACTCAATTGAAAAAGATGGATAAGATACAAGCACATATTAAAAACGTTTTGCATGTTTTGCATGTTGATGTTACATATAGAAAAGCATGACGTGGTAGACTAAGAGCCATTGAGAAAATTTATGAAACTCAGAAGAGTAACTTTGCTTAGTTGCCCAAGTATCTAATGGCAATCCATATTCTTTTAGAATTATTTTATCACAATGATATGTTTCGGGTAAAAGCACTCTATTGTATCTCATGTAAACGTGTTTCACATTGCATAGGATGTTCTTCACGTAGATATTGATCCTTCAATTTGCTTGGATGGCTGAACATTAGAAGCACTATTTGGTGTCGGTGTACCCAGCAATGATGTCGCTTGACCTTGCACTAACTCCCAAGCCATCTTTACATGTCTGTCTTCGGTGAGAGTTGCCCCCACAGCAAATCGGATAACATAAACTCCTCCAACCACCGAATGTGTCATGTAAACTCGCCCCGTTGCATTCACTAATTCCAATAACATTTGGTTGAATTCATTTGCTTCATGGTCGTTGTCATGGTGCTGACTAATAGCATAAGGAGAAACTCGAAAACAAACCATAGAAAAATATCTACGTGCCATAATCTCAAACCTAGAGTCCATGTTCACGAGCCCTTCAAAATCCTTGGCCATTTTCACATGCTTTCTTATGTATTCCCTCAAAGCAATCGTCCCATAGCTCCTAAGCACCATCCATAACTTCAAGGCTTGGAATCTTCGTGCTAGTGATATCTGCCAGTCTTTGTAGTCGACGACTTTCCCTGATTCTGTGGTTTTGTTTGCGATCAACTCTGAGGTTGTGGAGAGTGGTTTCGTAAATGACGATTTGTCTTTAACCCAAAGGCAGCAGCAAGCCAGGTTTGTGAGCAGCCATTTGTGCGCATTAAAACTGAAGGAGCTTGCACCCTCCACACCATCAAGGAAGTGACGAAACTCAGGACAGATACATGCACTTCCAGCATATGCAGCATCCACATGAACCCACATATTATATTTGCTTGCTACCTCACACAAAGTCCCCAGCGGATCCACCGCTGTCGTTGAGGTTGTTCCAACAGTTGCACATAAATAAATTGGAATTAAACCATCTTCAATGTCTCTTTTAATCATCTCATCTAGGGATTCTGGGGATAGTTCAAAGTTAGTTGACCGGGTTGTCACGACTTGTCGAACATTCTGAGGTTTTATCCCAACAATTTTTGCTGACTTCTGGAAAGAGAAATGGGTTTGGTCGGAACAGTACACTGCAAGCTTTTCTGTCTTTTCTCTTCCAATTTGATCAAGTGTCTTCTCTTTCGCAGCAAGCAGCGTGCAAACGAAGGCCTCACAGGTGGTGCCAAGCAAAACACCACCACCGTGATCACTTGAAGTTGAGAACGACTGGGGAAGCTGTAGTAGTTTTAACAGCCACTCCATGACCAGGATCTCTAGCTCTGTTGCTGCAGGAGAAGATGCCCAGTTGAATCCGACAACATTAAAACCATTGAGAAGCATTTCCCCTAGAAAGCTTGCCGTATTTGCGCTGGATGCAAAGTAGGCGAAAAAATTTGGACTTTGCCAATGTGTTATGCCTGGAATAATATCCTTCTGCACATCCTTCAGTATAGCTTCGATTGGCTCAGGGTACATTGGAGCACAGTCGGGCGAACTTTGAAATAGATAACCTGGTTTAACTTGGCTTTTAACAGGATACTTTTCTATATTCTCGTAATAATCTGCAAGGAAGTCTATGACCATATGGCCTTGCCTCCTGAATTCTACTGGGTTCAAGGGGTTCATTTTGTTTGCTTTGTGACATACCAAAGAAAATAAGTACGTGTATTTATAGAATTCATATACGCATTAACTTCCTCGTAGCTTTTGTTTGTTTGTTTTTTTTTTTTTTTTAAATAATAATAAAAATAAAAAAATAAAAGAGGTGTCCTTGACTAATAAACATTTGATAAAGGAAATAACCTACCTGAAATAATTAAATTTATTTTGAAATAAATGAGCTAAGTAAATCACTTTTGGTATATATGATGTGCAAAGAATTAAAAACAAGAAAATGTAAGCATGAGCGGATTTATCGTTAACTAAATAAATATTATTTGTTATAGATTTGTTTAAATACGATTCTTCCCCGTTCAAATAAAAATAATATATAGTATGAAAACATAAAATATTTTATGTTTATTTTATTATTCTGCAATAAATATTATATATGCGTATTGTATAATATGAATATTAACGTTTGATTGTTTATATATTCATTATATAATTATTATTCTATTATAAATTTATGTATGTGTATTTTTGTAATAAATTCTAATTTTATTTTTAACCTATGGGTATCTATTTATTCACTGGTGAATAATGATATAAAGTTATTTATACAAAATTTATTGCAAAATAATAATATAAACGGAAAATAACAAAATTGCCCTACGAACTTTTTAAAGTGTTAAGTCCCTAAATTATTTTTATGGCTTCCGAGGAAACAAAATATTGGAGAACCTGTCCTTTTAGTACTTTCACCTGTGTTCCCCGGTTTTATTGACACGTAGACAAAACATGTGGCTTTATGATAGGTTGCAATGCAGGGGATCAATATTAGGAAGCAAAAGTCAGAAATCACGGTAGCTTCTTCCTCCCACACTTAAACTGGTAAATTAAAGCCTCCACCATCTTCGACAAAGAGAAACAGTTCTTCACGATCTTCATCTTCATCAAATGATCTTGAATCGACAACCTTTGTTGTCATAGTCTAACAGCTGCTACCATCTCATCGGGATTTTCCTCCTCCATATCGTCAAACTCGTACACCGTCGGCAGGGTCGTGTCGTCTGGGCACTTCCGGATCTTCATCTTCATCAAGCAATATTTTCTTTTAGCAAAATACTTGTTTCTAAGTTCAGTTGTTTTCAGATAAAAGCAACACAATTTAGAATCAAATTAAATCAGGTTTGTAGTTCATGGAGTAAAATTATAATAATAGGAGCCATTGAGGTCAAATTTCTGGGTGTTGATTTGAGAATCAATTTATACACTAGTGTTGTGTATGCTTTTCGGTTCTGTGTTGATCTTTGATGATCCGTGTGATTTTTAGTTTATTGTCTTTCTATCTACTGGCTAATGATTTTTTTGGGGATTTAACCACAATAGAAAAAACCCTTTAACACTTTAAGCTGTTTGAATTCCTATTTTTCTTTTCCTTCAAATACTCCTCTTTATCTCGTAATCGGATCTTGTTAATACCACACTAGCCTTATGGGTTTTCCTCTCAACTCAAAGTGATTTAATCGTGATAACAATCAGACCAAAATTGGTGATTTGGCAAGTTTGGTCAACCAAGAAAAAACTAAAATTGGTCAACAAATGTCAATGTGGCAAAGGGGTAATCGGGTGACCCTTTTACTTTGGCCAAAAGGATGTAATCGACCTGACAAAAACAATTTCATTCCCTCGTAAAACCACAAAAATAATTTAGGGACTCGACGAATCAACCCTAAAAAGTTTGTAGGGCATTTTTGTCATTTTCCCAAATATAAAGGTAGTGTTTTTACACTTTCAAACTATTTACATTTTTTATTTGAATTATCCCATATATATATATATATATATATATATATATATATATATATATATATATATATATATATATATATATATATATATATATATATAGCTTTAATAGAGAACTATTATAAACAAGGAAAAAAGAAACAAATAGTGAGCATCAGAAATCATAATGTTCAATGGCCAAACAATGGATGTATATTTGTACATTGGACGCATATATACCAGATTATATAGTAAAACCATATTTTTACCAAAAAAACCCACCTATTTTTTTCTTTAATATTTTTGAGCCACATTTTATATTGAAAAAACCTCGAATGTGTGGTTGTTCACAGTCTTCCGTCCTATTTTCATAGAGATTCATATTGATATAAAAAGAACAAACTTTTTATTTCGAGAAAACCCAGTTTGTTTTGTAACTTTTTTTTTTCAATATTTATATTTATTATAATAAAAAAAACAAATAACACCAAAGATCTCAATATTTTGTCTTCTATTAATAAACATCAACATCTATAACAAAAAAAATCTCGATAAATTCAGATCAACAGTATCAATCTAAATTGCAAATATTTCAATTTTAGAATTCACAATGTAAATCCGACTTCTATGTCAACTCTATGATCATTCCCAAATTAAGTGAAATTTACATATTAATCGAAATATATTTTCATGTAGTTTTATAATATTTTAATATTTTGATTACTCATAAATTAGTTTTGTAAAATAAGCAAATGGATTTATTCACATTGAGAATATGAACTGTGTATAATTTAGTTTTTAGAAATCATAATGTGAATCTAAGTGGATTCACAATGTGAGTTTTTTAAAATCAATATTAATGTATGTTTAAAGAGTACCATAAAATATGAATTTTGTTGTATACATTAATATTTTTCGTTAAAAAATAGATCTTAACATTTCAAAAAACAAAGAACATAAAATGAATTTATTTTAGAAAAAAAATCATTTTTATTTAACAATATGCATCTCTATAAAGGATGACGAAAAAAACATGAACAATGGTATATTAAATTTTTTTCGATAAAAAACACGATTGAAAAAATTAAACTGAAAAACGGATGTGAGTTTGTTATAATTCAATGCATGTGTGTCAATTTTAAAAGTTTACAACCTTTCTTTTTTCATTGATTGCTTTAGATTATGATGTTTTGAATTAGTTCATTGATTCATTGATTAATAATGGTTCTTTATTGAACTTTTTCATATATATATATATATATATATATATATATATATATATATATATATATATATATATAACCGATTTCTGTGCCTCCAAATTAAAATAAAAACATTTTACTTTTTTTTTTTTTTTTTTTTTTTTTTTATGTTTTATGTTAGTTCTCGGATTCTCATGAAACTATGAGTTTTCTAGTGATCATTCATATATATATATATATATATATATATATATATATATATATATATATATATATATATATATATATATAATTGATATTTTTAGAGCTTAAAGATTTGTTAGAACTTGAGGACTATGCGTTAGCAATCATATTACTATGGAAAATCATGCATCTGTAGTTTATATAACTGTGGATAAGAATGTGCCCACAGTCAAATAACTACGGATAATCATATATGCGGAAGTTGAGAACTGTCTTTCTATAGTCATATAGTAACGGATAATCGTGTGTCTGCAGTTCCTAGAACTACAGATAAGCATTTTTCCGTAGTCATATAACTCTGGATAATCATATTTTTGTCTTCAATCCAAAAATATGCATGCATGCATATTCATATATGAATATATGCATGTTTCCGAAAACTAAAAAACTGTAACACCCGTTTATTTATAAGTTAAATAAATAAGTTAATGAACGAATGGTAGCCTGAAATAAATAATTATATATGCAGAGTGTTGGGTTCGAGGAGTTAGTTGCCTCATTTTTAGAAGTCGGGGGTTAAAAGTGTGAGTTTGGGACTCATTTTATAAATATTTATAAGGACAGGGGCTCTGTAGTAATTAATTGAATTTAATTTAAAAGGAAATGAGGTGGAGGGGCTGATTATGTCATAATTAGGATATTGGGGGCCGTTTGATAATTTATGGGACATAAATTGTAAGGGATCTCCATGGATTGGTTTGAAAGTGTAAATTTTGGATCATAAATGGAAATAATTTTATAGAGGGGGACTGTTTTTGCCATTATGGCAATAAGATTACATGATTGCGGGTATATAAGCTAAGTATCGGTTACCTAAAGCCTAACCCTAACTCTTCTAACAGCCGCCACCCTTATACCCCCGTTTCCACCTCAGGCGCCGCCAGTTATCGTACCGCCACCATTGGACATCGTGAACAACTAGAAGAGTAACACTGAAGTTGGAGCCTTGGATGCGGATGCATGGGTGAGGAACGTCGGATGCCGGTGGTTGGTTCCTTATTGTGCTCCATCGCCGCCATTCTTCTCCTACCTTTTCTTCGACCACCGAAGCCTCACCACGACGCTGTTACATTTTCTGAAGTCGCGCCGCTGTCGTTCTTGTTGAAGACCATATCGTCGTCGGGCGTTATTCTATTGTGGCTAGTGCTATTTCCCGACTGCCTTACACCACCACGAGAAGTGGCTGTAACCGGAGTACGTAACAGGTCGAGCTTGCGATGACTTGGTGATTTATGGACGCAAGCTGTTGGGCAGGAATCAGGGAGACTCGCCACCACCGTGAAGTGATGGCTATTATCACAAATGCTGCCTATCACCATCGATCTCACGCCACTGCTGTCGTTAGGGTGCTGCCGCCATCGCCACCCACCATATGTGGGTGTTGGGTTCATTTTATGAGCAAAGGTTGCTGGTTGGTGTGTGTGTGTGTGCTTGACTGGAAACCACAAGAAATCACCGCCACCACCGTGAGGTGGTGGCTGCCGCCATGAACCGCTGTGGATGTGTGTGTTTAGTAGGTGTATGCATTTTTATTTGAGTTTTAAGCATTGTAAAGTGTATTGCAAAATGTAATAATGATAGGAAATTGAAAACCACCACCTTAGGGTGGTGGTTGCCGCCACCGGCCGCCGTGTCGGGTGACGGTGTGTCTTGCCTAGTCAAGTGTTATTCGTTTGGGGTGCTTGAAACCCTAATGAGCCTTGTTAGGCTAATGGGCCCAATGTAGCCAAATGGGCTTAGTGAAAACCCTAATGAGTCTAATGGACTCTAATTGACCCAATAAAACCCTAG